TGAAGCTGGTAATGAACCACGGTGCCTACATCAAGTTGATTACTGGCTTCCTCTTCACCTCTCTGGCCTTCATGGTAAGGGACCCCGGAGAGCAGGAAGGCAGCTGGATGCCCAGGGGCAGCTGGAGCGGGAAGGAAGTGCACGACTTGCACAGGGGGCAGGGGCAGGGTCCTGAATCCCTGCGAACTGCAGCTGGGTTACGAGCTGCTCGATGGGGTTGCCCTCTCCCAGAACGTCTGCCCGGGGCTCTGCAAGCCACGCTCGGGGACTGGGCAAAGCACTTAGCCTTGGCCCCGTGGAACTGGCTTGGGGCCTGCGAGGAATTGGCTCCATGTACAATTTCACATTTTCCTCAGGGATTTGGACTGCGGGACGGGAGGCACGGGTGGGAGCAGAGTTCCCCCTCTTCTCCAGTAACCTGGCAGGTCTCTTTCCTCCCTGCCAGCTGCTGGAAGGGAACTTTGCCCTGTTCTGCACGTACACCCTGGGCTTCCGCAACGACTTCCAGAACATCCTCCTGGCCATCATGGTATGTACTGAATGTGCTCGTACGCTAATCCGCTGCCTCTCCATCTTTGTGTAAGACCTTCAGTGCAGGGTCTGACTATCTTTCATCTCCCCCGTCCTAGGCACTGCTGTAATAAGGTTCATGAGCAATAATAGGTTTATCATAACCCTGTGTCCACCCCCTATAGTTAAGGGGGACAATAGAGAGTAACGAAGTAGTGTCGTGGCCACCAGCAGGGCTTGGGGTTGGAAGGGAGTGTGACTTAGAGGAGTCCGAGGTAAAGTGGAACTCAGATGGAGCAAGAGGGGTGAGGGGATGGGGCTGGAAAACCCCTGGCATGGAAAGGGAGGTGCCTGAGGTTGCCTAAGGAGAGGGGGGAGGGCGTCATGGTACTAAACATGATTCCTGGAGAGGCACAGCCCATTGACGAGAACAGCAAGCCCTTTGTTTGCCCACAAAGCTGTCCAGGAAGGGGGGAGAATAAAAGCCGTGCGGCCTTTTGTCCATGGGTTCGCTTTTTTTTTTTCTTTCTCTTTTCATGATGGGGGGAAAGAAAAGGAGCCATGAGTGTTTATCGCAGGGAGGCATTGAATGGAGGGAACAGAGCAGCTCGTCTGGGAACCCTCTCCGTGCTGATCGATGGGGAAGCGGGGGTGGGGGAGCATTGTGGCATGAAATGCTTTGCCCTGCCAGAAAGGCCGTGAAAGAAAGAAAGGAAGGAAAAATCCTCCCAGGGCTCGAAGGAAATGCGAGGTCTCGAAAGCCATTGAGGCGGGAGACTGATCCTAGGGCCATCTGGAAAACGTGCTTCTCCCCTCGGGTCCCCGGCCCAACAAAGACCTGGTCCACGCAATGCCCCCTCCCACCCAGGGCAGCTGTCATGGGTCTGGCTGCGATGCGCCGGCTCGTGTCTCCTTGGCTGTGGGAAAGCAAGCCCCCTCTTCCAGTAAAGCAGGCTTGTAAAACCTCATCTGCCTTGACCTGGAAGGAATTGTCTTGCCTAGTGTGGCCAGGCTGCTCCAGAAAGGCAGCGAGAGCGAGTTCAGATGGGTTTCAAGCTGGAGAAAAGAGGGTCTTGGGCCTGGGATACCTGGTCCTACGGCAGACCCAGCCAATGTCAGGGCTGAGGTGGAGCTCCGAGCAATCCCTGCCCACCCACGTAACCTGCTGAGGGCTCCTGTGAGCCCATTTTCATACATTGCCCACAGTATGTTGGGCTCACGGGTGCAGCATCAAGGGCAAAGGAGCAGGCTCCCTGGATGCAGATGCTAGGCTAGACCTGGCTAGGCCTCCAGAGCCCTGGGGGTAGCCTGACTCATAGGGGTGGGAGACGTGAAGATGTTTGGAGCTGGCATGGGCGCTCCTGGAACGCTGATTTAAGGAGGGCTCCCGCCCTGGGTCTTTGTCTTTAGACCTTCCCACTGCTCCCCCACCCAAGAATGGGTCTGGGCACATCTGTGCAGCTGCTGGATCCCACGCGGATACCAGCCTGCCTGGTACCACAGCTCCTGAGCACCAAGAAGAGGGAGAGAGAGCAGCCTCTGCCTTGCCAATGGCATGCAGGCTTCCCGGCTGCAGACATGAGGCAGCAGGGGTGGGGCTGAGGGGAGGAGGGCAACCTGGCTTGCAGCCCTGGTGAGTAAGACCAGACGAAAGCGCGTGCGCCCATGGAGGTGGCACTCACCACCTCCCTGAGCCTCTCTGCGCGGGTTTGCCAGGGGGAGGGCTGGGGGGGTGTTGTCTATCCCTCCTGCCAGCAAGGCTGGCACGAGGTGACCAGTCCCTCCCCCAGAATCAGTGCTGCCAGCTCAGGTTATGTAACCATTGGGAGGACTGACCGCCCGGGCGCTGGCTGGCAGGAGCCACGAGAGGCCCTGAGATGCCAAGGCAAATTCCTGCCTGGCGGGGAGGGGAGAGCATGACCCCAAGGGACTGC